GGAAGAAATAGAAAATATGAACTGACCAATTACAGGTAATGAAGTTGAAACTGTGATTAAAAATCTTCCAACAAACAAAAGTCCAGGACCCGATGGCTTCATAGGTGAATTCTATCAAACATTTAGAAGAGAGTTAACACCCTTCCTTCTCCAACTCTTCCAAAAAATTGCAGAGGAAGGAACACTCCCAAACTCATTCTGTGAGGCCACCATCACCCTGATACCAAAACCAGACAAAGATACTACAAAAAAAGAAAATTACAGACCAATATCACTGATGAATATAGATGCAAAAATACTCAACAAAATACTAGGAAACAGAATCCAGCAGCACATTAAAAGGATCACACACCATGATCAAGTGGGATTTATCCCAGGTATGCAAGGATTCTTCAATATACGCAAATCAATCAATGTGATACACCATATTAACAAATGGAAGAATAAAAACCATATGGTCATCTCAATAGATGCAGAAAAAGCTTTTGACAAAATTCAAAACCCATTTACGATAAAAACTCTCCAGAAAGTGGGCATAGAGGGAACCTACCTCAACATAATAAAGGCCATATATGACAAACCCACAGCAAACATCATTCTCAATGGTGAAAAACTGAAAGCATTTCCTCTAAGATCAGGAACAAGACAAGGATGTCCACTCTCACCACTATTATTCAACATAGTTTTGGAAGTCCTAGCCACAGCAGTCAGAGAAGAAAAAGAAATAAAAGGAACACAGATTGGAAAAGAAGAAGTAAAACTGTCACTGTTTGCAGATGACATGATACTATACATAGGGAATCCTAAAGATGCCACCAGAAAACTACTAGAGCTAATCAGTGAATTTGGTAAAGTTGCAGGATACAAAATTAATACACAGAAATCTCTTGCATTCCTATACACTAATGATGAAAAATCTGAAAGAGAAATTAAGGAAACACTCCCATTTACCACTGCAACAAAAAGAATAAAATACCTAGGAATAATCCTACCTAGGAGACAAAAGACCTGTATGCAGAAAACTATGACACTGATGAAAGAAATTAAAGATGGTACCAACAGATGGAGAGATATACCATGTTCTTGGAAGGGAAGAGTCAATATTGTGAAAACAGCTATACTACCCAAAGCAATCTATAGATTCAATGCAATCCCTATCAAATTACCAATGGCAGTTTTTACAGAACTATAACAAAAAATCTTAAAATTTTTATGGAGACACAAAAGACCCCAAATAGTCAAAGCAGTCTTGAGGGAAAAAAATGGAGCTGGAGGAATCAGACCCCCTGACTTCAGACTATACTACAAAGCTACAGTAATCAAGACAATATGGTCCTGGCACAGAAACATAAATATAAATTAATGGAACAGGATAGAAAGCCCAGAGGTAAACCCATGTACCTATGGTCAACTAATCTATGATAAAGGAGGCAAGGATATACAATGGAGAAAAGACAGTCTCTTCAGTAAGTGGTGCTGGGAAAACTGGACAGCTACATATAAAAGAATGAAATTAGAACACTCCCTAACACCATACACAAACTCAAAATGGATTTGAGACTTAAACGTAAGACTGGACACTATAAAACTCTTAGAGGAAAACATAGGAAGAACACTCTTTGACATAAGTCACAGCAAGATCTTTTATGTTTCACCTCCTAGAGTAATGGAAATAAAAACAAAAATAAACAAATGGGACCTAATGGAACTTAAAAGCTTTTGTACAGCAAAGGAAACCATAAACAAGACCAAAAGACAACCCTCAGAATGGGAGAAAATATTTGCAAACAAATCAACAGACAAAGGATTAATCTCCAAAATATATAAACAGCTCATGCTGCTCAATATTAAAAAAACAAACAACCCAGTCCAAAAATGGGCAGAAGACCTAAATAGACATTTCTCCAAAGAAGACATACAGATGGCCAAGAAGCACATGAAAAGTTGCTCAACATCTCTCATTATTAGAGAAATGCAAATCAAAATTACAATGAGGTATCACCTCACACCAGTTAGAATGGGCTTCATCAGAAAATCTACAGACAACAAATGCTGGAGAGGGTGTGGAGAAAAGGGAACCCTCTTGCACTGTTGGTGGGAATGGAAACTGATAACAGCCACTATGGAGAACAGTATGGAGGCTCCTTAAAAAACTAAAAATAGAATTACCATATGGCCCAGGAATCCCACTACTGGGCATATACCCAGAGAAAACCACAATTCAAAAAGACACATGCACCCCAATGTTCACTGCAGCACTATTTACAATAGCCAGGTCATGGAAGCAACCTAAATGCCGATCGACAGACGAATGGATCAAGAAGTTGTGGTACATATATACAATGGAATATTACCCAGCCGTGAAAAGGAACAAAACTGGGTCATTTGTTGAGACATGGATGGATCTAGAGACTGTCATACAGAGTGAAGTAAGTCAGAAAGAGAAAAACAAATATCATATATTAACGCATATATGTGGAACCTAGAAAAATGATACAGATGAACCAGTTTGCAGGGCAGAAATTGAAACACAGATGTAGAGAACAAATGTATGGAAACCAAGGGGGGAAAGTTGTTGGGGGGTGGGGGGATGAATTGGGCAATTGGGATTGACATGTATACACTGATGTGTATTAAATTGATGACCAATAATAACCTGCTGTATAAAAAAAAAAGGTACTAATAGGGAAGGACTCTGAGACACATCAATAAGTGAGAAAAATAAGGCGTAGTAGAACGGAGAGTTATAATATGCTTTATTTGCCTAAAAATAAGAATGATTTTTCTGCTTTTTGAACTATGTGAATAAATTATTATATAATTTTGAAAATGAAACAAAAAAATAAAAAATAAAGTAACATTTTACTGTCAAAAAATAAAATAGTACTGCTACAAACATGGGCATGCAAATATCTCATTGAAATTCTACTTTCAGTTCTTTTGGAAATGGGATTGCTAGGTCATAAGGTAGGTCTATTTTTAATTTTTTGAGGAGCCATCATACTGTTTTCCATAACAGTTCTATTTTATAATCCCACCAGAAGTTCACAAGGGTTCCAATTTCTCTACATCCTCACCAACACACTTTTTTTTTCTTAAATAGTAGCCATCCTAATGGCTATGAGGTGATATTGTGGTTTTGATTTGCATTTCTCTGACGATTAGTAATGTTGAACATCTTTTCATATCTTTGTTGCCATTTGTGTACCATCTTTGGGAAAATGTCTTCAAATTCTTTGCCCATTTTTATGTTTCTCCTTTTCCCTTTCCCTATGCTTCTCCTTTCTTGACTGTTTGACCTTTTATTGACTCTGCTTCTGGTTCTGCTTCTCCCTGTTTTTCAACTTCTACTAATTGTTCTACTTTTCTTGCTGACTCTGCATGTGCTTCTCCTTTTTCCTATGCTCCTCCTTTTTGTAGCTGTTTTTCCTTTTGCTGACTCTGACCTCCCTCTGCTTCTCCCTTTTTCAGAGTCTGCTGATTCTTTTACTTTTTCTGCCTCTGCTTCTCCTTTCTGTGGCTGATTTTCCTTTTGCAGACCCTGCCCCCGCTCCTGCTTCCCCACTTTTCAGGGTCTGCAGATTCTGCTGCTTTTTCTGCCTCTGCTTCTCCTTTTCCTGTGCTTCTCCTTTCTACAGCTGTTTTTCCTTTTGCTGACTCTCCACTTCTTCCCTGTTTTCAGCATCTGCTGATTCTTCTACTTTTCATCTGCTTTTTCTGACTCTGCTTCTCCTTTCTCCTGTGCTTCTCCATTTTCCATGCTTCTTATTTCTGCAGCTGTTTTTTCCTTTGCTGATTCTGCCCCTACTTCTGCTTCTTCACTTTTCAGGGTCTCCAGATCAGCTGCTTTTTCTGCTTCTGCTTCTCCTTTTTCCTGTGCTTCTCCTTCTCCCATGCTTCTTCTTTCTGCAGCTATTTTTCCTTCTGCTTCCCCACTTTTCAGGGTCTGCTGATTCTGCTACTTTTTCTGCCCCTGCTTCTCCTTTTCCCATGCTTCTCCATTCTGCAGCTGTTTTTCCTTTTGCTGACTCTGCCCCCATCTCTGCTTTCGCCTGTTTCGGTGTCTGCTGCTGCTGCTTTATCTGCTGATTCCACCCCTGATTTCCCTTTTCCTGCTG